TTTTCGCGTTCACTCTTTCTCATGGAATCAGAGCAGGTCCCCTCCTAGGGACTGTTCCTAGGGCCCACCGAAGCGCGCCCCGAGGCGCGCGTTCCTTTTTTTTTAGCGACCCTCCGTGTCGCCCCTAGCGGCCCGTTACGCCGCCCTTACCTACGCGGCCCCGCCGCCCTTACCTACGCGGCCCCGCCGCTCTTACCGTCGCGGCCCCGCCGCCCTTACCTACGCGGCCCCGCCGCCCTTACGTCGCGGCCCCGCCGCCCTCACGTCGCGGCCCCGCCGCCCTCACGTCGCGGCCCCGCCGCCCTCACGTCGCGGCCCCGCCGCCCTCACGTCGCGGCCCCGCCGCCCTCACGTCGCGGCCCCGCCGCCCTCACGTCACGGCCTCGCCGCCCTCACCTCGCGGCCCCGCCGCCCTCACGTCGCGGCCCCGCCGCCCTCACGTTGCGGCCCCGCCGCCCTTACGTCGCGGCCCCGCCGCCCTCACGTCGCGGCCCCGCCACCTCACCTTCACGGCCCCGCCGCCCGCACCTTCGCGGCCCCGCCGTTCTCCCCTCCTGCCGAGCCGCCCGAGCAGCCGCCCGCCACGCCGCCCGGTACCGGAGCAGCCGAGCCGCCCAACAGCAGCCGCCGGGCCGCCTGGCCGCCGAGCCGCAGTTCAGCCGAGCCGCCCAGCAGCAGCCGCCGAGCCGCCGGGCCGCCGAGCCGCAGTACAGCCGAGCCGCCCAGCAGCCGCCGCCGAGCCGCCGAGCCGCCGAGCCGCAGTACCGCCGAGCCGCCCCGCAGCCGAGCCGCACTAGTGCCGAGCCGCCCGACCTGCCCTGTCTGGTGAGCACAGCCCCACTGCTACTGCGTGCCCTTCCCCCACTGCTTGCACTGCTAGTCTGTCGTCATGGCTACCCCTAGTGTCCTCGCTTTTGACGCTGAGGGTCGAGCCATTGACTTTAAGGTCTGGGTCGACGACCTGCAGCTGTTTTTACAGTGCAATAGGGCGGACGGTCTTTCTCTCTTTGACCTCACCTCTGGCGCCTCCCCTGCTCCTGCTGCTGATGCTGACCCCACTGTTCGCTCTCAGTGGGCCACCCGCGATGCTGCTGCACGTCTTGCTGTGCGTCGCCACCTGCCTACCACTGAGCGCGCGCACTTTAGTCAGTACAAGAGTGCTCAGACCTTGTACGACGCTGTAGTTGCGCGCTACTCTTCCCCTGCCACTGCTGCACTGAGCCGCCTGATGCTACCGTACCTCTTTCCTAACCTTGCTGCCTTTCCTACAGTCGCTGACCTCATCACGCACCTCCGCACTTCTGACACTCACTACCGCGCCGCACTTCCTGCTGAGTTCTGCGCCAAGAACCCCCCCCCCATGTACATCGCTCTCTATTATATAGTCACTCGCCTCCCTGACTCCCTTCGCGTAGTCAGGGACCACTTCCTCTCAGTCTGTCCCACCACCCTCACTGTCGACCTCCTTGAGAAGGCCCTCCTAGCGGCGGAGAAGAGCATAGTCGTTGTAGGAGCCTCTCGTGGTGACCCGCGCACCCCCATCTTTGAGGGGTGTTCTCCTTCCCCCCTGCTGCCCTCTGTTGCCTCTGCTGCTGCTGCCGACCTGCTTGGTCTTGAGTCGGTCGGCGCGGCGTCTGCCCCTAGCGGGAGACGCCGCCCTGGCAAGGGCAAGGGGGGCAAGGGCGCGGGTGGAGCTGGCGGGGGCGGTGGAGGTGGCAGTGGCGGTGGCGGAGGGAGTGGGGGTGGCGGTGGGAGTGGTGGTGGGGGTGGTGGTGGTGGTGGCGGCAGCGGAGGCGGCGGCGGTGGCGGCGGCGGCGGTGGGAGCGGAGGCGGCGGTGGTGGCGGAGGTGGAGGCGGCGGTGGCGGAGGAGGTGGAGCCGGTCGGGGTAGTGCCCCGCAGCGGAGCGGCTCTGGTGGTTGTCCGCGCTAGCAGCAGCAGCAGTAGTAGCGTTCTCGGGAACATCCCCCCGCCTCAGCAGCTCCGTGAGTGGTACACGCAGCGTCAGCGTGGTGGGGGTCTTGGCCCGTGCACCTACGTTCTTCGTTCCGGCGACCGCGCGGGTGAGCATTGTGGGGGTGCCCACTCCACCCAGCGCTGCTTTGGCCGCCTGACGGACGCTTGGCGTCAGCAGTTCCCCGAGGCTAGTGAGATTACCCGCTGGGGAGAGCTGTCTAGGGCTGGCGTAGCGATCTTTGATCTTGACTTTGATGCTATCCTTGCTGCCATGTATGCTGTGACTATTAGTGATGAGGGTGACTGTTACCGGTGTTTCCCGCCCGACCCGGGCATTGGTACTGCTGCGCTAGGTGCTGGTGAGGCTACTGCTCTAGGTGCCAGTGCATCTGCACTCTCAGGTACTGGTGAGGCTGCGCTCTCAGGTACTGCGTCGGCTTCGGCCTCCCTCACCTTCACACTTGACTCAGGGGCTTCTCGCTCCTTCTTTCGAGACCGCACCACACTCACGCCGCTTGGTCGGCCGGTTGCAGTCTCCCTGGCTGACCCCTCTGGGGGTCCTGTCCTCGCTCACTTCTCCACTGTCCTCCCGTGTCCGGCTGCCCCCTCGGGCACCCTGTCGGGTCTGTACCTCCCCTCGTTCTCGACGAACTTGGTGAGTGGTGCTGACCTGCAGGATGCGGGGGTTCACCAGTTTACTCCTGCGAGTCAGCGGGGGACCCACTGCTCGGACGCCCGCACAGGCCGACACCTAGCCACGTTTTCGCATCGGCCCGGGTCGAGTCTCTACACCCTGACCATTGAGTCTCCTCCAGTCCCTACGTCTGGCCAGGTAGCTGCGTCGGGTCAGGTGTCCACTGCTGCGTCTGCTCTTGTTGCTGAGCTCGTCGACTTTGCTGCTCGCTGTCGTCTGGACTACGCTGCTAGTCTTGTTGCTGAGTCTGCGTCTATCTGTCCTCAGTCCGTCGGGGGTGAGTGTGCTCTTGGCATGGACGTCCTTGAGGACAGGTAGGAGGAGTTTCAGTGTCTGGCTGCTGCTTCACCTCATCTCGCGTCTGTACTGCTTGCCCCTGAGGGAGACCCGGATGCACTAGACATCCCGACTCCGCGCTCTAACGCGGAGGCCGTAGAGGGTCCCTACTCCTCTCAGTGGCAGGCAGCTATGGATGCAGAGATGGCTTCCTGGAAGTCCACAGGCACCTACGTTGACGCGGTTCCCCCTCCTGGGGCGAACATCGTCAGTGGCATGTGGATCTTCAGGGTGAAGCGGCCGCCGAGCTCTCCACCTGTCTTCAAGGCGCGGTACGTGGCTCGTGGCTTTAGTCAGCGGTGCAGCAGGTCCTTCAGCGCTTCGGCTTCACGTACTCCTCGCCTCAGGCCACTCCTCTGTCTACTCGCCACTCGCTCTCAGCTCTGCCTTCGGATGAGTCCGTAGAGTCGAGTGGCCCGTACCCAGAGCTTGTTGGCTGCCTCATGTACCTGATGACCTGCACACGACCTGACCTTGCATACCCTCTTAGCATCTTGGCACGCTATGTTGCTCCTGGGAGACACCGACCAGAGCACATGGCTGCAGCGAAGAGGGTGTTGCGCTACTTGTGCAGTACGTCGGGCATGGGGCTAGTGCTTGGAGGGCGGAGTCCAGTGGTCCTCACTGGGCACGCGGACGCTTCTTGGGCTGACGACCAGGCTACTCAGCGGTCGTCGCAGGGTTACTCCTTCAGTCTTCGTTCCGGCTCTGTTTCGTGGCGGGCTACTCGCTCGTCTTCTGTTCTCGGCTCCAGTTGTGAGGCTGAGATCTACGCCGGGGCCATGGCTGCTCAGGAGCTTCGCTGGCTCACCTACCTGCTGACTGACCTTGGAGAGCTGCCTCGTTCTCCTCCAGTGCTGTACGTAGACAACAAGGCCATGCTGGCCTTGTGTCGAGAGCAGCGCCTGGAGCACAGAACAAAGCACATTGCTCTCCGCTACTTTCTTGCTCGTGAGCTGCAGCAGTGTGGTCAGTTGCGACTTGCGTACGTGGCCTCTGAGGCCAACACTGCTGATGTTTTCACCAAGGCACTTCCGCCTTGTGATCATCAGCGTTTCTGCACTCAGCTGGGACTTGTCCCAGTCTTGCCTCACTTGCTCACCTCTTGACCTTACTTGTACTCTTGCATATATATATACCTGCTCTTGCTTGTTTAGACTTATATATATATGTCTCCTCCTGCATGTGAACTGGCCTTGTGGCCTTGACCTTGTGCTCAGACTGTGTGGTGACGTTGTGATCCACCCTGAGCTTGCTTTGCTTTGCTTTGCTTGACTGGTCTTGTGACCCCTTGTTCTCCCCCACTTTGCCTATGGGGGTGTGTCAGAACATTATAGCTTATGCTTTTGTGTAGGCTATAGTGGGGTATCCCATAGGGGGTACAACCCAATTAGGGTTAGTACTTGTACCCACTTCGTTCATAGTTCATTCATTTTCGCGTTCACTCTTTCTCACGAGCTGCCTATCGCGCTGCCATGCAGCCCCGTGCGCCTGCCCTGCTGCTGCTGCAGCTGCCTGCTACGCTCTGCGCACGGCCCGCCCTGCTGCCTTGCCGGCCGCCTGTAGCCCTGCACGCCGCCTGCCTCTTCCGCGGCTGCCTGCTACGCCCCACGCGCCACCTGTAGTGCTCCCCTGCAGCCCCGTGCGCCGCCTGCCCTGCTGCCGCGGCTGCCTGCTGCGCCCTGCCCTAGGCGCCCTGCCCGCGCTGCCCTGCGCCCTGCCCACCCTACCAGTGCTGCAGCCGCTGCTACGCTGCTGCTGCTGTTAGTGCCGCACTGCCCCGCCGTGCCCGACCCGCGCCACGCTGCCTAGGGGCCTGGCATTAGGTTGCTACTGCTGCTTCTACTGTTGCTGCTACTAGTGCTACTGCTGCTGCTACTGCTGCTTGCCTCCAATCGGTCTGCGCTGCTAGTCCCGCGACAGCAGCTATGGGCCACCCTCCGAGTTCTGTCGTTCGATGCCGAGGGTCGTCCGATTCAGTTTGAAACCAGGCTAGATGACCTGCAGCTGTTCCTAATGAGCGATAGCAAGGACAATGTCTCTCTCTATGACCACACGTCTGGTGCCTCAGTCCCTCGCGCTGCCTCCGCTGAGCTTAGCGCCCGTTCCCAGTGGCAGATTCGTGATGCTGCTGCGCGCCTAGCCAATCGCAATCACCTTCCATTAGCTGAGCTCACGCATTTTGGCGAGCACAAGACCGCTAAGGCCCTTTATGACGCTGTAGTGGCTCGATACTCCTCTCTGCCACAGTTGAGCTCAGCCGCCTCATGCTGCCCTGCCTGTTTCCTGAGCTGTCCGCCTTTGCCACAGTTGCCGATCTCCTTACCCACCTTCGCACTAGTGACACCCGCCTTCGCGCCGCCCTCCCCAAAGAATTTTGTGCTAAGCACCTGCCTCCGATGTACTGGACCCTCCACTTCATAGTCACCCGTCTCCTTGACTCACTTAGCTCGGTCCGAGACCACTTTCTCGCTCGCTGTCCCACCGAACTCACTGTCGCCCTCCTAGAGAAGCACCTCCTTGCAGCAGAGAAGAGCATTGTCGCTGTAGCTGCTGCTCGTGGCGCTCCTCGCACCCCCATATTTGAGGGGTGCTCTCCCTCTCCCCTCGCCCCCACCTTTGCTACTACTGCTGCTGTTGACCTCCTTGGTGCTGAGTCTGCTGGTGCTGCTTGTGCTCCTGGTGGGAGGCGCCGCAACGGCAAGGGCAAGGGGGCCAAGGGTAGCGGAGGTGGCACCGGGGGGGGGTGGTGGTGGAGGCGGTGGAGGAGGAGGAGGTGGCGGAGGGAGTGGTGGCGGGAGTGCTGGCGGGAGTGGTAGCGTCGGCAGCGGCGGTGGAGGTGGTGGCGGCGGAGGGGGTGGCAGCGGCGGTGGCAGCCGGGGCGATGGTGGCGGTGGAGGTAGCGGTCGGGGTGGAGGCACGGGCGCTAGTCAGAGACAGCAGTAGCAGCAGAGTCCCCAAACGACCCAGCAGCTTCGTGAGTGGCTTGCTCAGCGTGGGAGATCTGGGGGTGGTGGTCGCTGCCCGTATGTCATTCGCACAGGTGACCGCAAGGGTCAGACATGCGGGAAGCTCCACACCCAGCACCGCTGCTTCTCCCTCCTTGACGACGCCTGACGTGAGGAGATGGGCGAGGACGCTGAGCGCCCTCGCTGGTATGAGCTCCTTAAGGCTGGTGTAGACATCTTTGCTCTTGACTATGATGCTATTATTATTGCCATGTATGCATTAGAGATTAGTGCTGATGGAGACTGTTACTTGTGTGTGCCGCCTGACCCCGGTATATAGACTGGTACTCTAGGTGCTGGTGAGGCTGCTGCCTTAGGTGCGAGCGAGTCTGCTCTCTCAGGTACTGCGCCTGCTGAGGCCTTGCACACCTTCACGCTTGACGCAGGTGCCTCCCGCTGCTTCTTTCGTGACAGTATTACACTCACACCACTCCCTGCACCTGCTGCAGTCTCTCTGGCTGACCCCTCAGGGGGCCCAGTTCTTGCATGATCCACCACTGTGCTCCCGTGCCCGGCGGTTCCGTCTGGCTCACTGTCAGGTCTCCACCTCCCCTCGTTCTCTACGAACTTGGTGAATACTGCTGTCCTCCAGGATGCGGGGGTTGACACCTTCACCCCTGGTCGGCAGCGTGTGGCGATCTGTACGTGCTCCCAGACCGACCGCCACCTGGCCACATTTACTCGTCGACCAAGGTCGAGTCTTTACACACTGACGACTGCACCTCCTTAGATAGCTGCTACTGGTCAGGTGTCCGCGTCAGGTCAGGTAGCCTCCCCCTTGTGAGTGTCACCCCACCTAGCCACGTCTACGTGGCATGCACCGTCGCCTTCTTGTGTCTGGTCTTCCCAGGTCTCTCCCTCCCCTCCCTGCCTCGCCTGCGCCGCCCTGCCTTCCTTGCGTCGAGGGGCGGCAGCGCGCCGCTCCTCACTCCTCCTCGTTTTCCCTTACAGAGGCTCCTCTGCAAACCCTCCACCTGGACGTGTGGGGCCCAGCCCGCGTTCGTGGACAGGGTGGTGAGCGGTACTTTCTGTTGGTTGTAGATGACTACTCGCGTTATACCACGGTCTTCCCATTGCGCACCAAGGGTGAGGTCCCTACTTTCCTGATCCCTTGGATCCGAGCAGTTCGTCTCCAGCTCCGCCGCAGGTTCCGCCATGACCTGCCTGTCCTGCGTCTGCATTCTGACAGAGGTGGTGAGTTCACCTCCGACCTTTTGCGGGCCTTCTGTCAAGGGGAGGGCATCGAGCAGTCGTTCACGCTTCGGGGCTCACTGCAGCATAATGGGGTTGCTGAGCGCCGCATTGGCGTAGTCATGGAGGTCTCTCGTACCTCCTTGATCCATGCGGCGGCTCCCCATTTTCTGTGGCCGTTTGCGGTCCTGTACGCCGCGCAGCAGCTCAACCTCTGGCTCCGTGTCTCCTTGTTGGAGACCTCGCCGACACTGCGTTGGACAGAGGAGGTTGGCGATGCGTCGCGTTTCCGGGTCTGGGGTGCTCGTGCCCTTGTCCGCGATACGTCCGCGGAAAAGCTCTCCTCCCGCACCATTCCCTGTGTCTTCCTTGGATTTGTTCCTGACGGGCCTGGCTGGAAGTTTTACCACCCCACCTCGCGCCGTGTCTTCCCCTCTCCGGACGTCACCTTTGACGAGTCGGTTCCTTTCTACCGTATCTTCCCCTACCACATTGCCCCTCTCCCTCCCCCGCCACTTTTCCTTGCTCCAGGTCCCCCTCCGGTAGACCCCCTCCCCCCTCACGGTCCTGCTCCTTCAGGTGTGTCTCAGGTAGACCCTCCCCCCTTGGCTGAGCCTGTAGAGGTCACTAGCGACTCAGGTGCTGCTGCAGGAGGTGCTGTTGGGGGTGCTGCGTCTGGGGGTGCTGAGCCTGCGCATGAGGTGTTGGGGAGTGCGGAGCCTGGGGGTGCTGAGCCTGCGAGTGCGGAGCCTTGGGGTGCTGAGCCCGTCCGTGAGGTGCTGGGGGGTGCGGAGCCTGGGGGTGCTGAGCCTACGAGTGCGGAGCCTGGGAGTACTGAGCCGGAGGGTGCCGGGTTGGGGGGTGCTGAGTCTACTGGCGTTCCTCTGGGTCTCGTTTCCCGACGCGAACCTGTCTCACCACAGCAGGCACGAGAGTGGCTTGCGTCGCGTACCCGCCTGAGGAGTCGTGCTGCTAGAGCTGCTTGTCGTGGAGGCGCTTGGAGTGCTGGTGTCTCTGGTCCTGGAGGTGCTCGTACTGGTGGTACTAGAGCTGCCGAGACTGGTACTGCTCCTGTAGCTGGAGGTGTCGGCTCTGGGGGTGCTGCTGCTGGAGGTACTGGGACTGGAGGCCCTGGAGCTGGTGCTGTCGACCCTGGCATTGGAGGCCCTGGGGCTGGAGGTGCCAATTCTGGGGGTAATGCTACTGGTGGCGCCGGAGCTGGAGGTGCTGCTACTGGAGGCACTAGAGCAGGAGGTTTTGGAGCTGCTAGAGGCGTTGGAGCTAGAGGTGCTGCTGCTGGAGGCGCTGCAGCTGGAGGTTCTGCTGCTGAGTCAATGGAGCTGGAGGTGCTGTTGCTGGAGGCGCTGGAGGTGGAGGTTCTTGAACTGGTGGGGGCGCTGGAGCTGCTGGTACTGGTGGCACTGCACTGCCGCGACTGTTTTTCGCTCCTCCGTCACCGTCGTCTCTGCCACCGCATGACTCCGTGCTTCACTAGATTCTTAGCATCCCGTCTACTACTGGTCTCTCGCTACAGCCCGGCGCACCACTGCCTGCTCCTTCTCCTTACACTGAGCAGAAGACAGACAGACAGACTTGCTTACAGAGCATCATGAGCCTGCGTCTCGTCCTACCTCGCTTGTTCGCGCGCGTCGCACTGGTAGTCATGTTCCTCGTGAGCGTCCGCCTCTTGTCCCTGGCACGCATGCTATCGCACTTTGTCCTTCCTCTGTTCCACAGCGTGTTCCCCTACCGTCTCCTCCTGCGTCTTCTCTGCCTGACGTCTAGAGTCTGACTTGGTTTGTGCTACTCACCCTACTGTCACGCGTCTGCTAGCCACTGTTGTTACCGACCCGTCATTTGAGTCTGCTGCTGTGTCTGCCTTAGTCTCTCAGCTTGTTGACTTTGTTGTTGCCTGTCGTCTAGACTTCGCTGCTAGTCTTGTTGCTGAGTCTGGGTCTGTCTGTCCTCCGTTCGTCAAGGGTGAATGTGCTCTTGGCACGGACGTCCTTGAGGACAGACAGGAGGACTTTGAGTGTCTTGCAGCCGCTGCGCCTCATCTCGTAGCCATGCTTCTTTCCCCTGAGGGAGACCCGGATGCTCCAGACATCCCGACCCCGCGCTCTTAAGCTAAGGCGATCGCGGGTTAGTACTCCTCTCAGTGCCAGACAGCCATGGACGCAGAGATGGCATCCTGGAAGTCCACAGGCACTTACATCGACGCAGTTCCCCCTCCTGGGGCGAACGTAGTCAATGGCATGTGGATTTTCAGGGTGAAGCGGCCGCCGGGTTCTCCGCCTGTCTTCAAGGCTCGTTCCTTTGGATGAGGCTTCAGTCAGCACCAGGGAGTTGACTTCTTCCAGACCTTCTCCCCCACCCCAAAGATGACCACTCTTCGGGTACTGCTACACGTTGCCGCTTAGCGTGACTATGAGCTCCACTCTCTGGAGTTCACCACAGCGTTCCTATAGGGCAGTTTGCGCGAGGAGATCTGACTGCGCCGCCCACCTGGCTTCACTGGGTCGTTCCCTCCTGGTACCCAATGGAGCTTCCGCCGGCCCGTCTACGGTCTCCGTCAGGCGCCTCGTCAGTGGCACGACACACTGAGGACGACACTTACAGCTCTTGGGTTTGCACCTTCCATTGCTGACCCGTCGTTGTTTCTTCGCACCGACACTTCGTTGCCGCCGTTCTACATCCTCGTGTACGTCGACGACTTGGTCTTCGCCACTGCTGACACGGAGGCTCTCGCCCGCGTGAAGTCGGAGCTGCAGAAGAGACACACGTGCACAGACCTGGGTGAGCTGCGCAGCTACCTTGGCCTGCAGATCACCCGGGACAGAGCACGGCGCGCCATCACACTGACTTAGTTATACATGGTGCAGCAGGTCCTTCAGCGTTTTGACTTCCAATACTCCTCGCCACAGTCCACTCCTCTGCCTACCGGTCACTCGCTCTCAGCTCTGCCTTCGGATGAGTCCGTAGAGCCGAGTGGTCCGTATCCAGAGCTTGTCTGCTGCCTCATGTACCTGATGACCTGCACTCGACCTGACCTTGTGTACCCTCTTGGCCTTCTGGCTCGCTACGTGGCTCCTGGTACCACCGAAAGGTGCACATGGATGCTGCTAAGAGGGTGATGCGCTACTTGTGATGTACGTTGGGCATGGGGCTCGTGCTTGGAGGGCGGAGTTAAGTTGTGCTCACTGGGCAGTCAGACGCTTCTTGGTTGACGACCTGGCTACGCAGCGGTCGTCACAGGGTTACACGTTCAGCCTTGGATTTGGCTCTATTTCTTGGCGGTCTACTCGCTCGTCTTCTGTTCTCAGCTCCAGTTGTGAGGCTGAGATCTACGCCACAGCCAGGGCTGCACAGGAGTTACGCTGGCTCACCTACCTACTGACCGACTTAGGAGAGAGGCCTCGTTGTCCTCCAGTTCTGTACGTTGACAACAAGGCTGCCATTGCCTTGTGTTAGGACCATGGACTGGAGCACAGAACGAAGCACATTGCTCTGCATTACTTCCTTGCTCAAGAGTTGCAGCAGCGTGGTCAGCTTCGTATCGCTCATGTGCCCATCCGAGCGAACACGGCTGATATGTTCACAAAGGCCCTTACGGCTGGTGATCATCAGCGCTTTTGCACTGCTCTAGGCCTGGTGCCTACATTTCCTCACATGCTGTAGACTTCGGTTGTACTGTGATCTATGTATATATATACCTGCATGTTCACTCTTGCTAGGTAGTGATCCCTGTACTGTTGTTGTTGCATATATACCTCTGTATGTGAACTGGCCTTGTGGCCCTCTTGCTTGTGCTCGTAGTGTGTGGTGACGTTGTGATCCACCCTGAGCTTGCATTGCTTTTCTTGACTGGTCTTGTGACCCCTTGTTCTCCCCCACTTTGCCTATGGGGGTGTGTCAAACTATATATGGTTTATAACTAGGTGTAGGCTGTAGTGGGGTAGTGATCCCTGTACTGTTGTTGTTGCATATATACCTCTGTATGTGAACTGGCCTTGTGGCCCTCTTGCTTGTGCTCGTAGTGTGTGGTGACGTTGTGATCCACCCTGAGCTTGCATTGCTTTTCTTGACTGGTCTTGTGACCCCTTGTTCTCCCCCACTTTGCCTATGGGGGTGTGTCAAACTATATATGGTTTATAACTAGGTGTAGGCTGTAGTGGGGTAGCCAATGTAGGGTACAACCCCTCAGAGTTCTCATCCTTGTACCCAACTCACTCAATAGTCAAACCATTCCTAGCTATCTAATCAACAGGGATCTCATTCAAGTAATCGTCCGACGTATTTAGGAAGTCAGTTCGGATGTGCAGTACTGTAGTCTTCCCATATTGCATTTCCTTGCACTGCTGGCTGATCTTACGAATCTTGCGATGCTTTGCACAGGAATCCTGTCCAAGGTCCTCTACTCCAGGGCATTCCTACTTTACTTTTTCCTCTGCTGCTGCCGCTGCTGCTTGTAATGCAGCCTTGCCTGCTGCTCCTACTGCTCATTATACTGCTGCTGCTGATTCTCCTCCTGTTTTCCCTCTTGTTTCCCCTCCTGTTTCCGCGCCTGTTTACTCTTCTGCTCCTTAACTGGTTTCTGCTGTTGGTTTTCTGGCCCTTGCGGCTGTTGTCGCCATGGCTGCTGCTGCAGCGACTCCTGCTGCACCCCTTGCTGCACCCACTGCCGCATCTGCTGCCTCTGCTGCCACCTTTCTTCATACCAGTTCTTCCACATCTCAAAAATACACTTCTTCTTGCACATTTCCATCAGATTCTTTGAAGCCACAAATACATGAATGTTAATAGAATCCCCCACAGTCATGACCTTCGCCCCGTTTGGAACAAGCCCTGCTTCCAACTGTGCACAGTCCACCCTCCCCCCACCACTCACTTCCCCCACACTCTTCCAACCCTCCTCCTCCCCCCTCCTTCTCTCCCGATTCATGACCGCCTTTCTGTTTCCGCAACAACCATTGGTACTTCACGCTCGGCCGAACCTGCCACACTGCCCTTCCCCCCCTCCTTCGAGCCACTCCATCCGTAATGTCATACGCAATATTCCGAAATGCAGCTGCCCCATGAGTATTATTCTGTCCGAAATTATTTTTTGGGCTTTTGTAATCCACCAGTAGTCATAGGAAGAATATCTTTCTTTTATTTGTGCTCCCCATGGTAGGTATCTTGGCCAAGGGTCGTACACCACTGCCCTTTAGATGCCAAACACTCAAATCTTGTCTCAAACATCTTGACCTCGGCTACAGTAGCAAGTATGGACCCCGGGATCAACGTCTGAGAGTAATCAGCGGTTGAAGCTTCTACTCTAGTAACCCCTCTCTCATCCTTCTTCTCGACATCCATTGCTGTTGCTCCGCCAGCTCTCCTCCTGTTTAAATATCTTAGGCAAAGGTTAGAAACCCTAGGAAACCTTGGATATAATACAGGCAAAAGAGGAAGTTTGATTAGCAAGATTGGTACAAGTAGGAGCATGGGTGGGCAAGATGGTACACCACCAACAACAAGATAAACACCACACAGTAGTTACACTAGCAGGCAGTTATAAGAAATTTATAGTTTCTAATACCTCCAACCCTCGCGGCCTTTCAAACCTAGTACCAACACTCTCAGCGGAATGGTCGTCATGGTCGCGCAAAAGTCTGACGCGAGAATCTTGGACCAGATCACAACGGCGATGCCAACCATGGCAAAAAGAGCAAGCACGGAACTCCGCACGCTTCCAACAACCATTGCTTTTGACTTCGCAGCTGTCGTCATCGCTCTTCGTTATATATATATATATATATTGCTTTCGTAACTCGTACACGTCGCACTTCAGTAAATTAGACTGCTGAAAAAAGACTGCGAAAAAGGAAATGCATCTCTGTATCAGCATATGGCGCAAAGTCTACGCTTGTAGTTTCCCAAGCCGGTCTCACTATTCCTAGATTTTTTGCCTATAGGCCTCGCTCAAGCTATCTATTTAGGCGCCAGTGCAGCTTCGAACCTGCGACCTAGGGGTGCGACACACCCGGCCCTACTTTTGCCACATTTCTGCTATTGTTTGGCCCTGATATGATCTTTGCCCAGCTGGCTCTTCTATATTGGCGAATGTCAGGATGGAGGTCCCTCTGTTTATGACATTCACAAACACACCCACCCTAGATTCGCGGGTAAGGCTTCGGGCCTCACGATTGTCCTACAACTCAAACGAGGAACCACAATGCTATAAACGAAACGTAACTACAAGTAAGTCGTGAGTAAAATACAATTTTCCTTACTTTGCGTCCCTGCTCAGCGCATACGCCACTGTTCCCGCCAACAACTCTCAACAATGCACCGTTACCACTCGCGACACTTGCCTCGACCACTGTTCCCGCCACCGTTCACGATGCGGCCCAACCTCACTGTTCGGCTGGTAGCCCGCGCTCCGGACCTCCGCCTCGACAATTCCCAGCCTCGACGCTAGGCCTGTAGCGCACCCCAGTTTCATACATTACCGTTACCACTTGGGCTTCGCTATAAATTATTCGATCATTCCTTCGCTCGATGTACTTTTGCTTCGATAGTGTAATTCTCGCTCATTCGCTCAGTCAATTGCATGTGTAACATTGGGGCATGTGATGCCCGCCAATAACTGTCAAACTATATACTTATTGTTTAGTTAAACTGTATTGGGGCTAGCTTTAGGGGGTACAGAATTTCCCTCAACATTCTAGTCTTGTACCCACCTTGACCTAATACAATCACTCTTGCCTAGGTATTCTAACATGGCATCTAGAGCAGGTTCTTAGGACCTAAAATTAAGGGCCCACCCGTTACCGTATTACCAACGGCCTTGCCTGCCTGTTTGCCTTGTCTCCTGACCGCGCGCGCCTCGCCTGCGCGCGCGCGTAGCTTTTTTTTAGCGCGCGTGCTGCTGCTGCCAGCCGCGTCGCGCCCCGCACGTCGCCCGCGCAGCCCGCCCTGAGCCCGCGCGGCCCCGCGCACGGCTGGCAGCTGCCCCGCGCACGCCCGCGCAGCCCGTGCAGAGCCAGCGCAGCCCGCGCGCACAGTCAGCGCGCAGACCGTGCACCGCCCGCGCGCAGCCCGCGCACCGCCCGCGCGCAGCCTGCGCACCGCCCGCGCACTGCCC